CCATCATGTTTTTTTTCATGTTTCAATGACAAATTTCTTTTCTGTACCGCGATATTTCTCTTTTCTTCATCTTGTTATATGACGTTTTAAATAAAAAAAAAATGACAACAACAAACTATTACCGTCAGAAAGGAAAAAAAAGCAGGAAGGTAAAAAACAGAAAAATCTTATTTTTTTAAAGAAAAAGAGAAGAACAGAAAAGAAGTAGTTATGCGTTACGTTTATAATTTACGAACATTATGATGTAGTCATTTATGCGTCATCGTTGCAAATGTAGATGATGCAACCAATCGGTTTTATATGAATCCATTTTGTTTATTATTAGAATAAAATAACTTCAAAAAAAGAATATTCATGAAAAGAAAAAGAAATTTAAGAATAATTTCTTTTTTTTTTATTTTCAAAAGTATAAATTCATAAAATTCTATTATTTATTGAACGTCATCAATCAATCTTTTTGAAGATGATAGATATCTGTGTAAAACTGTGTTATTTTTATGGATTAACTACACAAATATTGATCAAACTTATAGCTTTTGACCAAAGCATAAAATGAAGAAAATTGATTGCAAGAGCTTCAAGTTCTTGACATAGTTTTCATTGATCTGAGTGGGAGATATAAATGTCCCAAAAATTCCAACTGATTCAATTCCGAACTGAGAGAGCTGCGAAGTGAAATGTATAAAATAAAACTTCATACAAAAATTCATCATCAGAAAAAACTTGTTTGATTAAATTAAAGGAATATTAAAGTTCTATGAATCTACTTTTCTCAAAGAGTTTTGAAATATTGCATACATGTACGTGTTATCCTGACTGGATCTAAAAAAAAAATTTTAATAACAAGTGCGAAAATCCTGAAAGGATCCGAGGAAAACTTTGATGGGAACCTAGCAGGATTTTAGAAAAACCTTGCTTCGTATCTTGAGAAGAACCTTAAATTCTATGACGGCACACTTCTTTCAGGATTTTTCTGTTTCCTGGCTTAAACTTGAATGAAAAATCTTGATTCTTATCTGGCTTAATCCTTTCAATTCCGACAATAACTTGTATTCTTTGTAAACACGAGAAGAAAGAAAATAGTTGTCTCTCTTTTATGTTAGCAGCTGCATTTGCATCTGGTGTGTCTATTGAGAAACAGCAGAACAAGAAGAAGTTGCCTTTGCAATAAATAGCATGTGGGGAAATCTATTGAATACATATGATATTCGTCTTCTAAGTAGACAATGGAAAGAAAAAAATTGTTTGAATTTTCTATTTCATCAACGAGATTATATCAATGATTGAAACGATCAAAGCACTCCCAGTTTCATTTGTCTAAGATCTCTTTACAAACAAGTTGCCGGCTAATGTTTTTAAAAAATCTAAGCGCATACGTTGCTAATTTCGAAATCTTTTTTTCTCATGGCTTATCGAGCTGATCGGAGTAAACAATTAAACGAGATCGATGCGTGCAATGTTGAGTTTTGTGAATTGTTAATTTCATCACATAAACTGGAAGATTTTTTGTCTGACGAACCTCATTTGGTATCCATATTTAAAAACTCTCAAAGCAGAAAGCTTAATGAATTAACATTGTTTTGTTGTTTCTTAATTACATTGATCCACTGATAAGTTTTGATACTATTAATAACATATTTTGATCAGGATCCTGTGTCATTTAAGGACCAGTGAGACAAGAATTATATGATACAGAAAAAGCTAATTATATTAACTTGAAGCTTTATGGAATTCTTTGAGAAGACTCAGGTAAATCTAACTATGAATTTAAATTTAAATAATGTTTTTGTTCTTTCGCTAAGTTTCTCATAAATTAGGTTACATAAATCCAATCCATTAAACGTTCGATTTTATTGAACAATATTTTCGAGGTCAATTAACAGATTCAAATAATGAATTTATTTCAATTTGTATTGAGGGTAGGACACCTGCTAAATTGCTTGTTGAACTTGAATTGTATTCAGTAAGTAAAGTTCTTGCAATATATTGAATAGTTTTTTATTTTGATTCTAATGTTAGATATTTATTTCATCTGGTGAAGATCGTCCGTTAATGGATATTTCGTTTTTCGAACTAAATACAACGAAAGCAAAAGAAACACAATCAATATTACTCGCAGCGTTTAATGGTTATAGAATTCAAAGATCTGCTATGACATATTCGAAGAACATTCGAAGCAGAAGTCTTACAATGGTAATACCAACGACTGGGATAGGTGTGGGTATCGGTATAGATGTCGGTGAAGGTGTGGGTATTTTATTTAAATCAAGCCAATACCCACACCGACACCCACACCTACCCTCAAGATGGCTTATATGAAGAACTTTTATGTATTTCTATAAAAATACTTTATCGCCTTCTTTGACAAAAGTTCTTTTCATATGTTCCAATAAATACATTCGATCAAGCGAGATAAACTAAAAATTAAAATATCGTGGATGAACGACGCCTACGTCACGTATATTCTTTATTAGTAGTTAGTGTATTTTATTTCTTTCATACTTCGATGAAAAGTTGTACACCACATACATTCTTCCCTTTCATTTAATTCTATAGCCTGGACGAATGAAAAAAAATGCATCCTATATTGCGTCTATTCTTCGTGCAACAGCACTATTCTAAATAATGTGTTATATCGATAAAACCTGAAAAATAACGTGGAATACGCGAAAATATATTCATATTTCAATAAAATATTATGTATATAAATTTTCTCTTTGCTTCTCTCTTCAATTATATTTATTACTTCAACCTTCAAGTGATCTTATAAATATCTGTTCATTATTCTTCATTTTAGATATTTTTATTAATTCTCATACTTCATTATTATGAGCGAGGACCATATTCAACTTTCCACCAATGCTCTTATGGTTCGTCCTGTCTGCTTCCACACTATTTATTCACTATTATAATGTATAAATTTTAGGATTATTTTGATGGTAATACTCAAATACAAGCAGTATTACAAGTTACGATTAATACGATTTCGAAGCTATACATTGTAGATCAAATAAAACTTTTTCCATTATGGAATCTCAAAGTTGTTGACAATTCACATGCTGATGAAGATAGTTCACTTTGTTATCGTATTACAATATCTGAAAGAATATTAAGCTATTCATGTAAGTCATTATCGAAACAAATTTAAGATTATTGTTTATTATTTATTTCTCAATTTATAGCATGTATTTTGGATCATTCATTGAATCATCTAGTTGAATCAAGCACTTTAAAAGAAAATACAATAATTTATATCAAAGATCTAGTAATAGATCTACATGATGATAACAAAAACAGGTAAAATGCCATTAGAGATTTCTCTCTTCTCTTTGAGCAACTTTACTTTGTGTTAAAAAAGTAAAAAAAATCTTTTTAGCATATGATTATTGAAATTCTAAAAAAACAAGTAGAAAGGTTTTTTACTAATAAAGTTCAGTTCTAATGATTACTATTTTTAAATTTCTATTTCTTTTCAATCAAAGATGACGTAAAAATATGCAACTAAATATCTAACATTTTTAAAATCTTTTATTTTTATATTGTTTGAATTTTTGTACCGATCTGTTTCTTCATTTTTACTTCTTTCTAATCAACTACCATCCCTTAGTTCATCAAAATAGTTAGAATAAAGGTTTTCAATCTGTCTACTCTATCAATCTTTTTGTAGTTTTATTCAACTAGACTTTTTCAAAGTTCTATTAAATTATATTCTTCCATTGTATTTTTAGGCAAATGTTTATTATCAATGATATAGATATTATACAAACTGATGCGAAGAAAATTCAATATCATTTTGTGAATCTTGAATCAAAACAATCATCTTTTATTAGATCTTCTTCAAATTCCATCAAAACGGCACACATGATAAATCAAATTAAAAAAGAGACATTTATATCAATTTTACGAATTAATCCTTGTAGCAACAGATAGGAATATTCATTGATATCCAATGTTTCAACTATTACTATCAATTTTGTTTCATCTTCATTAGGCCGGTCTACCAACGGCATTGTTCCAAATAAGACTAGTATTCATCAATATAGCAATGCACGTGGTCAAGGTGTAGTATTTTCATTTGATTTAATGGATAATACTGCTAAACTACTAGTCACTGCGTTCAACAACGAATACAACAAGTTGCATCCTACTATTCATAATGGACAGGTGAGTGTAAAAAAAGAGCAGCTGCCTAATTCGAGTTCAAATATTAATGAAAATTTCGAAAATTCAGTTCCTATGAAATCACAAAAGAAAAAGAAAAAAATTTTCTTTATTATAATTAATATGATTCGAATGGAATTCGTATATTTTTGGCATTCAGTTTAATGCGACGAATTTGGTGCTAGGTATATACGTTTCTTTAAATAACCGATGTTTACGGACATTACAGCAAGAGAGATGTGACTTATCGGCGCTGCAGCAGGTACGCAAATGTATCTTGAATACAAAATAACATCTAAGAAACTGAATTGCCTGGGTAGCTTAAGCAAATAATAAATTTTTATGAGCATTACAATTATTTCTTTTTTGAGTTTTTGATACCGTTATTAATGTCTTAGAATACTTGTTTCGCCTGATTCAAAAGTAGAATTGTAAGTGTGAGTTTAATTAGGAGCAGTTATATTATCCGAGTGCAAGGAAAGGTTGCCCGGCTTGCACAGTACTATGTGTGGTTGAATTTCAAGTAGAATCGTTGTTAATCAAATATTCCACTCCCATTTTTCAAATCTACTATAGATATAGAACGGATAAATCGCCATTTTCATTCAGCTTGAAGCTTTCCAACATATTGGAAAAGATATTGTTTTAGTTAATGAATTTCAGATAAGTTTATTACTATAATTATTCATTGATATTAGATGTATATTCTTGCTAAAGACATTGTAAAACCTGTCACTCGACAATACAATAAGTTATCATGGAACTATGAAATAATCGTTACTCAAGAAACAAGTATCAATCATAGTGCTACTGAAAATCATATTAATTCTTCAACTTCTCGACGTAATTTTCTTCGACTCTGTTATATTTCGAATCAACATACTGACGCTGTTATTGATAATCTTTATTTTCAATTTATCATAATCTCTTAAAGAACTATCTATAGAATTCTGTGAAATTAGAACCAACGATATATATCATATTAATTATAAAATTGTCATATATCATCCTGTATATTAGTAAAGCAAAATTAATATCAATCATTTGTTTTTGTTGTCTACGTTATTTAAAAATAGACTTGGATATGTTTTACTTTTCAC